ATATATATAAATATATATGTATATATATGTATATATACATGAACTACCCCTATAAGCATGAAACAATCTCTCCTATAAACATGAACTAGCCCAAGAAGCATAAAACAATCTCTCCTATAAACATGAACTACCCCTCTAAGCATAAAACAATCTCTCCTATAAACATGAACTACCCCTGAAAGCATGAAACAATCTCTCCTATAAACATGAACTACCCCAAGAAGCATGAAACATCCCCTTAAACAACCCCGAGAAAAGATCGGCGTCGGGGGAAGGACGATGTAGAGTATTGCAATAGTTGTGCGGTTTATGACGGTACAAACCAGCAAATGCATATATTGACACCATACAGTGCCTGTCACTAACATTTTGGGGAACGATGGTTGGCCCCCCCGTCATGACAATGCATCCCGCATGGGTCATATACTCTAGAATTCTTAACCCACAACGAGAGGGACGGTGCCGTATAGCTGACAGCATTCGGTTTGTTTTCTACGACTTTCAAATCAGCATTGGGATAATACGATAATAGGCTCGTGGTGTGGTGAAGCCAATTGTAGAGTTTGGATTAATTCATACCCTTGTCAATAGCCGTACACAAGTGAAGTCTGCACATGAATGCCTATATACCTACCTACCCATCCTGAAATTCGCACAAAGAGAACTCACTCCCTACATGTGTGCGACCTCGACTTAAGGGCATAACTTGTATAACAGACTACCACTATTTGTTCGAAGGAGGGTTTAGGGTTTAGGGGTTGTCTTGAGTCTGTGCGAGAAGACAGCAATAAGGACAACGTCAAACAGGGTGCAAGTGCACACAAGGACGGATTCACTAAAACTATCTAAACATACTGTGCACAACTTCCTATGGGCACCTGCACGTGGCCACATATAACTTTATCGGAATCATGCACTTCAACATCAACGTGCACGTAGTGTACCTGACAACCTCCGAGCATCATCCACGGGCATTGCATGGATGTGAATAACCGGGGTACTGAAGATCGAGTGGCGGGAGTAGTACGAAATCTTCTTACACAGAACATGTGTGTGTACTAAAGGGCCGTGAGGTGAGTCAGAGGCCTTGGTTTTAGTGCAATCAGACAGTGTATCTACGTGTGCATAACCATATCTGAGCTGACATCAATAAACACTTCTTTTGAATCACACTACCAAATAAACACTTCCTCTAAATGTATTATATACATTAAGACATACTACCACATAAACACTTCATCTGAATCTATTATATACATTAATACATACTACCACATAAACACTTCATCTCTGAATCTACTATATACATTAATACATAATACCACATAAACACTTCATCTGAATCACACTATCACATAAACACTCATTTTAATCACACTACCACACAAACACTTCATCTGAATCACACCACCACATAAACACTTCATCTGAATCTAATATATACATTAATACATACTACCACATAAACACTTCATCTGAATCTATTATATACACTAACACATACTACCACATAAACACTTCATCTGAGTCACACTACCATATAAACACTCATCTTAATCACACTACCACATAAACACTTATTTAAATCTACTATATACATTAATACATAATAACACATAAACAGTTCATCTGAATCACACTATCACATAAACACTCATCTTAATCACACTACCACACAAACACTTCATCTGAATCACACCATCACATAAACACTTCATCTGAATCTACTATATACATTAATACACACTACCTCATAAACACTTCATCGGAATCACACTAGCACATAAACACTTCATCTGAATCTATTATATACATTAATACATACTACCTCATAAACACTTAATCTGAATCACACTACCACATAAACACTTCATCTGAATCACACTACCACATAAACACTTCATCTGAATCACACTACCACATAAATACTTATTAATCCTTTATATATATTTAGAATTGGCTGTCACCCCTCTGAGAGTGATCACTGCCGCGCCCTGAGTTAACTGTCTGTGGAGAGGAAATGGTCCTCATTGATTGTCGAGTAGATGTGTCCCTCATTACACAAGTAGTCCAGTGTATCTCTGTGCAACCAGTAACAACATATGTTTAGTAACCAGAAAATATAACCAGTTAACCATAAACCAATAACAGCATATGTTTGGTAACCGGAAAATATAATCAGTTAACCATAAACCAGTAACAACATGTGTTTAATAACCAGAAAATATAATCAGATAACCATAAACCAGGAACAACATGTGTTTAATAACCAGAAAATATAATCAGATAACCATAAACCAGGAACAACATATGTTTAGTAACCAGAAAACATAATCAGTTAACCATAAATCAGTAACAACATATGTTGAGTAACCAGAAAATATAATCAGTTAACCATAAACCAGTAACAACATATGTTAAGTAACCAGAATATATAATTAGATAACCATAAACCAGTAACAACATATGTTTAGTAACCAGAAAATATAATCAGTTAACCATAAACCAGTAACAACATATGTTTAGTAATCAGAAAATATAGCAAGTTAGCCATAAACCAGTAACAACATATGTTTAATAACCAGAAAATATAATCAGTTAACCATAACCCAGTAACAACATACTTTAAGTAACCAGAAAATATAATCAGCTAACCATAAACCAGTAACAACATATATTTAGTAACCAGAAAACATAATTAGTTAACCATAAATCAGTAACAACATATGTTGAGTAACCAGAAAATATAATCAGTTAACCATAAACTAGTAACAACATTTGTTAAGTAACCAGAAAATATAATCAGCTAACCATAAACCAGAAACAACATGCTATGTAACCAGAAAATCCTAATCAGTGAACCATACTGAAGCTGTAGCTAGCACTGATCTCGTCCCATAACAAACTCGAACTCAATACGCAGCAGCAACAGCGCTACCTTCACACACTCCTCACTGCCCTCCAATCACACACAACAACCTCCCACATGGAGTAGCATACATAGCTCTAAGAAAGACATATTTGATATCCATACAATCACACACAACAACCTAACACTCCAAGTAACATACACAGCTCTGAGTAAGACATACCTGATATCCATACAACCACACACAACAACCTGCCACACTAAGTCACATACACAGCTCTAAGTAAGACATACTTGATATTATCCATGCCATAGTTGGGGAATCGGCTGGCTATGTCATTCACATGCATGCCCACGGTGGTGTCCTGCGATGACTTGATAGCGTTAAGAACGTCTCTCTGCATCGGTGACTCTAGCGAATCGTCTCCATAACCTGTGCTGGCTGGTACATTTGCGCCAGCCATGCCTCCGTACGCGTTGCTGTTGTGTGTGATATTTTGACTCGCGTTGAACTGGGGCGCTTGATAGCCGGCATTGTTGTTGTTGTTGTTGCTGTAGGGGTCGTTAAAGGAGTTCATCTTTTGTGATCCGCCAGTGTTCTGTGTGTAGGGTATAGTATACACATGTATTAAGGAATGGTATATATACTGTGTCGGGATAAGTATGTAGGGTTTTAGAAAACCCCCTAAAACCCTAACCCCTAAAATGGTACATATATAGTGATGAGAGAGGCGTATCCAGAGTTGGTCAAGCTGGTCATCGCTTTGCACGCACGCTCAACCACATTGAACAGTGCACAAGCACACACAGGCACAGTTATAAATTTACACTAACAAAGTGTGTGCACGCACTTGTAAGTCAAGAGTGAATTTGTGCTACACACCTCAACGCCAATAACAAACTTCGTAGATATATTTTAGTCTTTAGTCTGCACAGGCCAGATACTATTTAGTTGGCTCTAGACATGGCACGGCACAACCTACTGCACTAATCAAGCAGACCATGTGCACGAGCACAAGACATTCTTAAGTCCACACAGCACTACATTATCAACATTGAGTGGACATGTAAGAATGAGGCTAACTGTGCGTTTAACAGCGATATATATATACATATATATATATATATATAAATGATGCACCTTAGTCCAAGACCTCTAATCAACAGACCATGCGCACAAGCACACGACATTCAGAAGTCCACACAGATGTATAGCCATGATACACCTTAGCCCAAGACGAATTCCGCATGCTATGTGCTATGCCACTACATATTCTCTGATATGATCATCGAACTATCCTTCATCTTGCGACAACACACGCATGATCATGTTCTTTCCTTCTATCGCTCTACATAGCTCTCTGCATGTTCGCCTGAAAACCACACACTGCACGACTTAACGACAAGGACTAACATGCAGCTACAAACAACACAGCTTTCCGGTACTTGACCATATACAATTGCCTACACATCACAGTACACACACATACATATCACGACACATCGACGTACCAATCCCAGCACAAACACAAACACAAACACACATACATACACAAACACATACACACATACATTATTCCGCGCGTTCTTGATGTGGCACTGCATCGCCTCCAGCAGATGGAACGTGATCTCGTTAAAGTCCTCTACCACCGCCAGATGGGCCGCATGTACCTTGCGCTTCTCCATGAACTCGCTCAAGTGCCCTACCACGCGCACATAGGTGTCTTCCCTCCACATGGCCCGTTGTTGAGCCTCGGCGTCTGTTTCGTTGGTGGACACCCACAGCTGCACGTCGATGATGCCTGTGCCGTCTTCCATCTTGAACACGGAGTGGGTCGACATCTCGTTTACGGATTTAATCTTGGCAATGAATGTCACCTGTATAATAGAGGAGTGAGATATGCTGAGTGTGACTGAGTTGTATGTGCGTGAACAGAGAAGAAATAGACATATGTATCGAGAATAGACAACTCGAAACACAAAGCAACGCATGTCCTCTCATCCAACTGCGACCGTCGCTAGGGGGTGGGTGCATATACCAAAGGAACTTAGTCCAGAGCTATGACTATACTACGCAGGCGCACATCTATACATAACGGAAATATACTCCGTTCAACGGATCAGGCTTCACCTATGCAATTGCCCCGCACTCCTCGCTGAGAACCCCCACGCACAACTACGCACACAAAGCGGTTGAATCTGGCGGCGCAATGAACACCAACTATTATGAACGAGCAATACTACTCTGGAAGAGCTCAGGTACATTGACTCAGTGTCAAGCTATGGACCAAACCAACGACAACCCGAACTAATGGCCTATAGTTCAATATGAGTTGCAACATATTCAAATTCAACGTGGTCAAACGGCAGCCGTCTGTTACACCATCGTTTCCAGAACGAATGGTTTTCTCGAATAGACACCCTATATATTTAAGTATATATAAATATGCATACACATACGCATATACATAGAAATATAATATACATAATATACATAGAAATATAATAAATATAAATACACATACGCGTATACATAGAA